GACTCCTTTGTTGACTGTAACCATCATCTAATCCATTCAAAAACTGAATAAGTTTCTGTTCATCTTGATGCCTGTTCAGGGCAGTGATGAATGCAGATATTTCCTCATTTGTGGTGGTAATAGGTGGCAAGCTAGTCATGCTTTCCAATTCCTCCCACAGGATTTTCAACTGAGTATAAAAGTCAGTCACAGTCTTTCCAGACTGTTTAGTCTCATATATCTCTTTGTTCAACTGATACTTCCTAGACCCATTTGCACTTGCATACCTTTGTTGAAGTTGACTCCAGATATGTGAGCAATTGCTGATGAACATAACAGATTTCTTTATTGAATCTGATACATTTCCCAGTATCCAAGCTATAATCATATTGTTGCAAGTATCCCATGCTTCCTGTTTTACTCTATCACTAAGACCTCTTTTCACTACTCCTGTTACAAATCCATACTTTCTTTTGGATCCCAGACTGATTTCCATTGATCTTTTCCAAGATCTGTAATTACTTGATCCTTCCAATTTCTCTATGCTGATAGAGTTATTTCCATCTGATGGATGCAAGTATAAAGGGCTCGTAGTTTCTATTATGGATGACATAACTACTTGAACCACAGGAATACAGCAGATTCTATTTATAAAGATCTAAAATTTATATAATTGTAATTTTCTTACAGATCCAACACACACTATATTTGTAAGAAATAAAGTTTTAAACTTTAATACATAAATGCTGCTAATACACTAACCTCGTGCTCTGATACCATGATGATAAACAGAAAATAAAGGCACAAACTTTAAAGAACAGCAGCAAAGTTTCATGTCAAGCAGGATCTTTTTGATTTCATCATATGTGTGTAAATTTCTGAATGAATAATGCTACAAACATTCTCTCTACCTTATATATGACAGCCCACCAACTAATTTAACCTAGGGAATTAGCCACCACTAGGAATATTACAACTCATAACACAAGAAGACAAATACTAAAATGTATGACAGTGCAAACAGACAAAATAATAGCAGCAACATATAAAACAGAATAGCCACTACTACTACCCTCTATTTCATCACCATTCTTAATTTTTATTTTTATTTTTTTTTTATTATTATTATTATTATATTTTTTATTTATCTTTGAGTTGTTGTGCATGTTGTTTTGTGATGTATAGCATTGTTATTCCGTGAGTTTTGGCCCATGCATATTCTTTGGATGGTCAAGGCTATGAATTAACAAGGATTCTGCAGTTGGCTTCTAAATTACTACTTTCGCTTTAAAATAAGGAAGCAGGATCCTACAGAGTATATATATGATATTTACACTTGATGTGTGTTTGAATGATTATTTTGGTTATATGTATGTATGGCTTGTGAAATATAAAGTTCTTTTGGATTTTTGGTGATTTTAACAATTCCTACATTGTGTCATTGTGGAAAATGTTATATACTATCTATTAGAATTTGGACAAGCCAATACACTGACTCTTTTCGGTTGCAGTCACCAACTCGGAGCAAAATTACATGGTATGACTTATCATCTCTTCAGGTTAGGCTTATTGTGATTTGCATATGATTGAGGATGATGAAATTTTATTATATATTAACAATCAATGTTTATATTGAAAATAAGAAGCATGTTATGGATAATTAGTGCATTAATATTAAAATTGTTATTAGTCTAATGTATGCTTATCACAATTCTATTATCAAGTTCTATTGCTACATAACATATGGGAGATTCAACAATCTATTACATGGCCTCTATAGATTTGGGGAGTAGTTTGTGGAGCTATTAAATCTGGTGTACTTACAAATAGTCATTTCATCTTTCTCTGATTTATTATCTCCATTTTACCATAGCCATGTTCCGCACTAAATTTTCATGCTACGCATTGTGTTAGTGCCTATTTCTTAAATTTGTCTATAGGAAATCTATTTTTTTTTCCTACTTATCATCTTGGATATGCTTCTGAGGCATTTTCTTGTTTTGCTAATGAAGTCTGATATATGATCTTTATTTATATGGGACCTAATTTACATATGACTATGATTACTAACATATGACTACTTAATTATATCCTTTGTTATTAATGACTTTCTAATTTCTTTCAGGCCATTTCTCAAATTTGGATGTCACTTCTAGCTAGACTTGCTATTGCTGAAGGATTAAACACGTGGAGAAACTTGTAATTTCAGCACATATTATCCTTCTCACTGATAAGTTCTATCTTTAGGGAGGGCGTAAATTTCCTACACTTTTCTACTATGGTTTGGGTGAATATTTTATTTCTTACATATATTCTGCACCTCCCCTAAAGGTACTCTCTTCTTTTCCCATGTTATTGTCAAACATTGGAGATGACTCCCATAAATAGGATGTATTAATGACTTGATGTTTGCATCTGAGAAGGGAAAGCCGAAGAGTGGTGCAGTGGTGTTTAATGTTAAGCACTTTGGTTTGTGGGACTGGTGTGAGAAGTTATAGGATAAAATATGGAGTTTAAAAGGAAAATTTAGCTTTTATTAGCCAAAAGATTAGGTAGATTGGGAAGTTTGATTTAATTGAATTGTGATTAAAATTGAGAAAATGCGTTTGGTTTTGATAAATTTGAATGTGAGGAGCTTTATTGAGATTAAAAAGGCTACCATGAGAAGCGGAGGGAAGTGATTGAGTTTAGGGTTGCTGCAGATGTCTGGTAGGCTGAGAAAGGAAATGTGGTGGCGATTTGATGTTCATGTCATGGGATTGACTGCAACAATGTAAATGTTCTGTAGCAGTACTAAAAAGAGCATTGTCCTATTTAATTATTTGATCTTGATTTACAGTAAACCAAATTATATTATATTGATACAATTTCTAAGTTGTGAACTTAGCATAGTAATTGTTAACATGAATAGATTTACTATACTTCATGTCCAACATTTTTAGAGTAGCTATTTCCAACTTGAAAGTTAGTATTTTTCGAGGGATTTAAAATTCTCAAGTCACTGCTTCTTTCTATGAAAAATACTCATCTGATTGGCTGAAACTCTGAACAAGTCTTAAGATCATTTTAAAGTGTATTTTAACAGTGTATCTATAGACTATCCCTAATTCTTCCTGTTTGAATAGGAGGATGAGCTAACTTGCTTTCGAAGAACTCTGAACACTTGCTTCCCAAGACTTGTTGAGTTTATTTTGGGACCTTAAGTCTAGAAAGCAGACAAACGCTGATGTGAAATATATTTACGGACAAGAGGGTGCTTGGTCTGTAAGAGACCATAGGCTTCCTCTCATTGAAATTAAGTGATTAGCTAAAGTGAATCACTATTTTGATTATTAGATGCATATATAGAAGTATGCAGAAATCAGTCCAGTATATGTATACAAATCATTCGGGAACATTCTGTAGAAGAGTAAGATTTTAAAGGATCATTTTACTACTCTCTGCTTCTTATTGATGTATAAGGGTTCGTTCTTACAAGTTATCTCGGTATTTGTTCACTTTTCCTTGGGACAAAATTATACACTGATTGGGTGTTTTGCTTTTTTTATTTTATTTTTTGTGGATGAACTTTTTACCATGTTGACGTTGCTTGTCTATTGTGGGTTTTGTTCTCAGTATGTCCATGAGGAATTGATAGAGTGCAAGCATCCAACTGCCTGGAGTGAGTTTGAAATGGGATTGATTAATGAGGAACGGAGATCCTTTTTGGAGGAATCGAGCCCAATAAAAGTGTTCCTCTAATTTAAATATCGAGTCCTACAGTTATTTCCGTGTACAAGAGTAGCCGAGTACATCCTTGACACACACCAGTCTATAAGTTTGGGTCAACATTTGAGGGCGGCTAGATACTTGCTCACCAAGTGCTTGGTGAAATTGCCAAACTCCTGAAAAGAAAGGCTTAGTCTAATTAGAGACAAATATGTCGAAAATGAGGTAAATGGAGATATTTTGATAGGAAGTAGATATCCTTGTTCGTGTTTTTTTGGAATTCTATTGAGACATATCTTCTTGTTGATTTGGTTAGCTTTTCTGTTTCCCCTTTACTCATGTTTTATGAATTGCTATTGCTAATAATTTCGCATAAATTGTTTGGAAATTTGAGTGTCTGAATACAATCATTGCAATTCTGATAATTTTCCTTTTAATGGCATTGTGATCTTTGTTTTAGTTTTTCAGCTATTGTTAACCTCAACTGTGATATAGATGTTGGATACTACTTAGTATCATTTTGTTCAACCCGCGTAAAATCTACCTTGAAACTTGTTTGTCTTAAGCCTTGAAACACATCCTATTTTGATATACTTCGTGTGTTGAGTTAAGTTATGGTACTAATAAATAATAATTAATATGTGGGCTGTTGTTTGAGACCTATCTTGATGTTGATCTTTCTACAACTGTAAATTTGTGTAGTGCAGGTCAGTTCATATAGAGGGGTCAGGAAAGAGAGAAAGAAAGAAGGGAAGGGAGAGAGATAGAGAGTGAGAAAAAGGGCCCGGGAGTGGGGAACCGGAAGAAGAGAGAAAGATAGCAAGAAAGAGGAGTTGGGAGAAAAAGCGAGTGAAATAAAGACAGAATGAGAAAGCGGGCCATGAGAGAGCAATAACGGTCGAAAGAGAAAGAAAAAGAGCAATAACGGAAAGTGAGGCTAGGAGAGAGAGATAGAGTGAGAGATGGGTTGGGGGAAAGAGAGAGAAGTCCTGGTAGGGAAAGAGATAGAGAGGCCGGAAGATAGAGAGAAACTGAGAAAAATAAAGGGAGTTGGGGAGAAAGAGAGGGGGGAGGGATTGGGGGAAAAATGAGTAAGTGTAACCTATAATTTTCAATGTCTTTAATAGGATAGAATAGGGACAAAATGGATTAGAAAGAAAGAAAGAGACTAAGAGAAAGAGTATAGGGACATGGGTTGATAAAGGAATGAATGAGTGATATGGAAACAAGTTTGACCTGTAATTTTCAAAGGCACTAAAAAAGTGTGGGGTGGGGGGGGGGGGGGGGGGGGGGGGGGGGGGGGGAGAGAGAGAGAGAGGTGAAACAATTCAAGAGAGAGAGGTGAGAAACAAGTTTGACCTATATTTTTGCGGTTTTCTCATGTGAATGGACACAGGATTTAAGGGAGGTCTCAGAGCGCACAGGAAAGCTAAGGTTGCACAGCCAGCTGTTGCTCATGGTATAAATGTAGGTGTAGAAATTAAACCTATTGAAAAGGTCATGAGAAGACCAACATCTCCCCCGTCCCGAACGTCCCCCATTAACATCTCTAAAGTCTGTCTATGTTTCTTCTGTCTTCTATCTTTAAACCAACCAAAAGCTCCCTTTAGGTTCCCTGGATTGGTCTACAGAAACAGTTGCTGACTTTTTAAGAGGTACTCTCTTGACCTTTTCTCATATATTAGTGTGTTAGCCTACATTATTTGTTTATTTCTCCCTGTGCAAGGAGCTTCTACCTGCACTACTTCTTCTGGCCTGTCAGAATGTGTTTCTTTATCCCTTTTATTGCACATGCATTGGTTTACTTTGGTTATCCTAAACACTTGCATAATGTCTAGGAGTTAATTAATTAGTTGACAATGAAATTGTTATGATTTAGTCTCAGTTTTTGGAGATTATGAAGCATTACCAGACGAATGCTTTTTTATACTGATTTTTTTTTCATTTCATTAAAGCAGATTGCTTTTAGCTTTGTTTTTCCTCTTGAATGATTTTAATAATTTAAAACTCGGGTGGTTAGATAGTTGAAAAGGACCTTTAATTTTGATGGGGGAAGAGGTGACTCAGTGGGGAAGAATCAAGTTGCTATTATAAAGCATTTTTAGCCACTTTGGTGATATGGATAGTGAAAACTGAAGTAAACTAAAGATATACTTTTGAATTTTCATTTTGATACGGCGGAGCAGGGTCGCCGTCGGAGAGAGGATAACATGGTTGAGATTCGTAGGAATCGTCGAGAAGAGAATTTGCAGAAGAAGCGTCGTGAAGGCTTTTAATCTGCTGCTTCTCAGCAATTTCCTTCTTCTGCTGCTCCTTTTGATAAGAAGGTATAATCGTACTTTGATTGAACTTTTTTATTTGATTATGTAAGTAGGGTTTGATTTTTGTTTGTTGTATGTAGTATAATTAGGTTTTGAGTTGATTGATTAATTGGGGATTTTCTTAGGGATGAATTTGGTTAGATTATTGATTGTTGTATTTTTTGGATTTGTGTTGTAGATTGAAAGTCTGCCACAGATGGTTGCCGGTGTTTGTTCAGATGATGGGGCTGCTCATCTTGAAGCTACTACTCACTTCCGAAAGCTGCTTTCGATAGGTTTATCTTCTGTTGAATTCTGTGTGAATATATTGAAGCATCTGATTGTTTTTTTTGTGTGATGAAGTATCTTGTGATGCATCTATGGTTCCCTAGATTAATGACATCGCCTTTTCGTGCTTAATGTAGGCAAAGTCTCGTAGATGCATAGTTGTATAGTGCTTAATTTAAACACATTGGATGGTTTAGATAGTTGTTAAACGCCACACTCCATTCCATTTCTTGGAATCACGTACTGGTTTCTAATTTATGCAGCAGTACAGGAATTAATCAATATGAATATATTTGAGACAAATATGATATAGTAGTTTCTGCGGTTAAAATTTTCTAGGTTTTTTGCTTGGTTTTCTTCTATGATTTTTTGAGTACAAGAGTCGGTTGAGGTCAGTCGTTCTTACGGGATTCTACATGGTTGTTTCACAGAGCGTAACCCACCTATTGAAGAGGTTGTTCAATCAGGAGTTGTTCCTCGTCTTGTTGAATTTTTGGGTAGAGATGACTACCCTCAGCTTCAGGTTTGTTTAAGTGAATTTGCTCTTTTAATCAGAAAATAATGAAAATCAATAGTTTTTAGCAACAAAATTATTGGGTGTAATGCCACCTTCCTACACTAAGATAAAGTACCTATTCAGTTTGAGGCTGCTTGGGCACTTACTAATATTGCATCTGGCACATCGGAGAACACTAAGGTTGTCATTGGTATGCTACATAGCCATTGTCTCTAAATACTGTTGATTTATGCAAAGTCATGGTTGGAGTTCATTAAGTGAGTTTATTTTCATTGAATTTATACTCAAGCTCCCTAAATACATATGTGGTAATCAGTTTGTTTTCACTGAATTCAAATTTTTCATTATGTTTGTCAGGAAAGTGGTGGTGTTTATTTTCTTATTTTATTTGATACTGCAGATTGATGGGATATTGACCATACGAATGTGACTCGATCTCAAATGTAAATCCAGAACCAATTAAGCATAGGCAAGATGAATTGTGATGTGTAATAGAGGATAGTGCTTTTTATAATTAATCAAAGGTAGCTTTTATTTCCACAAAGAATATGTTGTACAAGATGCAGCCTTTGATGATGTATACAATTTTTTAAAGGTGAGCAAATTATTTAGGCATGGACAAACTATATGGAGGTGAGCAAACTATTTTAGGGTAATGTAATTTGAATATGATATTTAGGAGTGAGAAAATTCTTTAGGGGTGAACAAATTATTTTAGGGTAATGTATGTGTGAGCAATTTATTTAGGAGTGAGGTAATTTGTATATGAGTTTTAGTGGTGGGCAATTTATTTTTAAGTAAGTTAATTGTATATGACATTTAGGGGGTGAGAAAACTATTTAAAGGTGGATAATTTTGTATGATTGCTAGGGTTATAAATTCTACAAGGATAAGTAAATACTTTAGGGGTGAGTAATTTTTATAAAGGTGAGGTAATTGTATACAATATTAATATACTTATAGACTATATGAATAATATGTCTATACTTAATTACAAAATGCTTTATTATTCTTACATTTTCCATCAAATATCATATTATAATCTAACAAAACAATAACAACCGTTTCTCTTAATGATAAATACAACAATAAGTATTATTACACATTAACTTACGCTACCATATTACCGATAGTTAATATTAGTTTATTGGGCTATCGCGCGCATCACACACGATGGCACAACTAGTAAAGTTAAAAAAAGTGAGGGTATAATGGTGTTCACATACTATCCAAAAATAGAGACAGAAACAACATTTTGGATTTCCAAAATAGAAAAACAAAAACTATATTATGGGACAGAGAGAGTACAAAAGCTACCTATACTTGTACAATTGTGTTGTGCGTACATCGTGACTCGAAACAGACCGAAAGATATTCGATTTAGATTTCAACTCCCATAGACACAATAATTTAATATGTATAACTCAAGTTTAAAATTAGACCCAAACCGACCTTATCAACCTAACCCGAAGACTCGAATTGACACCTCAACTTGTGCGGAGTATTTGGTTCAAACTTGTAAATCCCCATTTCACAATAATTGACCTTTAATAGAGTGTTCTCGTGCATTACACGGGACAATAATAACATTGGAGAGCTAAAATTGGAGTAAGAAATAAATATATGTAAGAAGATTTAGATATAAAAAGTGCATAAATGAATATGATTCTAAATTACAAATTTTAGGGTAAAAAAAAAGTATTGTATTATACATCTAGTTTTAACTAAATGGAAGGCAAAATCGACATCCTACGGAGTAATACATTTTCTTTTACACAATGATTAGGGGTGTGTAGACACCCAAATGTGTCTCCCCAAAATCAAATCCAGTGATGAATACCTTTCATGTCATTTGATTATCGAACAAAATGAAAGTGTGAAAAGTCTAGTGATGAGGATGTTTTTATTAAAATATATCTTCTTTCTATTTTTGAAAATATTTCTTTTCTTACCTTATTTATGAAAAACGAGCATTCCAGTTTAGTTTGGTCCATGATAAGGGTCCAATAATGGTGTATTTGGATGGGGCTTGAAAAGACCTTTTCAACGATATATTATAAGCCCAATTCCGATGAGTAATGAGGAAGTTATGGCCAAAATACTAAACTGAGCCCGATTTGGTTTTTATATGCGGCTCAATGATCTAGGGGAGGGCCTATTATTAATTATCATTCCTAAAGCTATTAAGATTGATTATAGTTTTCTAGAATACTCTAGAAGGTTCTCTTAAATCCTAATAGAGTTAGGATTGATAATTATGTTTTAAAGAGTTTGAAATTAAATAAAACTACTCCTTTTAAGAATCCTTGTTTTGTACGAAGTGGAATATATTCAGATTTTATTTTCGTTCCTTATAATCTTTATCCAAATTTTATATGGTTGGATAGATCTTGAAATTATCTTTCCAATGATATATTATAATATTAAATCCGAGTAATAACGAAAAAGATATGAATGAGACATGAAACTCTATCCAAAACTGACACCCTTTCATTATTTTGTCCATATATTTTTTATCTACAAAATATTTTAATCTGATTCTAATTGGTTTGGAAAGTAGACTTCAAGAGGTTTCCAACGACATATTATATGACTTATTTGGACTTCCGGATCAAAAGATATGATAAAAACAAAACGTGTGAAACTGATTATTAGTGCCTGGCGCTAAGTCTTGGCGTCTGGCGCTAACCTTCAGCGCCTGACGCTAATGTCTAGCGTCTGACGCTAATCAAGTTTTATTCTTGTCGAAACTCTGGTTCGTTTTTCTATCTTTTTGGTTGATTTTCTCTATAAATAGCCTTCTAAAAACTCCGTTTTCAATCATCAAATATTCTCAAATATCACCGACTCTCTAAGTAAGTGCTTTAAATAGTTACTAACGTGTGTATTTTGTTATTAGAAAGAGGTACGAGGCATCTAAGTAAGTGCTTTAATTGATTGATTGATTTTATGGTTTTTAGAAATCATGTCTAGGTTGTTGTTATGATTCCTAGTGTTATGTTAGGGTGTTTTGATCTTCTTAGTATCATGTTAGGATGCTTCTTAGTATGATATTTAGGGTAATTTGCTTATATCAATCATGATTCCTGCGATGCCTTTTATTTTCTTTCCTAATATCATGTTAGTATCATGTTAGGGTTAAAGCTTTAATTTTTATTGCTTAGTGACATGCTAGGGTTTGTTATTAATCTTGTTAGTATCATGCATAAGATCTTGCTATTAAAATTATGCTTTAACATGACTATTATTTTGATGATTATGATTATTTGGATTATGATGATGATTATCATTATTAATTTGAATTATTATTATGATTATGATTATTTGGATTATGATGATGATTATCATTATTAATTTGAATTATTATTATGATTATTATTATTATGATTATTTTTATTATTGATGATAATTATGTTACTTGATTATATTTTATTGTTATTGCTTGATCACACCTTTTATGCATGTTTAAAGGGAATTGGTACTGGTAATCACGCTTAATAAGATAATTAATAATCTTGTTTAGGGTTAATTTGATTATAATTCAAGTGATCGCCAATAATAGATTTATTTGTACATTAATATTCAACCAACATAGATAAACAGGTTTAGGGTAATCCTAATGATTGCATGTTAGTCAGAAAGCGCACATGAATACGATCAGAATAAAGTAGAGGCCTATTATTAGGGCAGGTTCAATCTCTTTTAGGTTGGATTTGTACCTTCATCCCCGAACTACCAGTCATGGTTCCAGATCTATTGGAGTTAACGATCTCTTGGATCGTTAAGGGGTGTAACCTTCACCCTATGAATGGTTTACAAGTTCCTAAAACTTGTTGGCGACTCTTTTGCTCTATCTTCTTTCCCTTTGGACACCACCGTACTTTAGTGTATGATCACAGTGGGGTTCAAGTTAGGGATAATGCTTGAAATATTCCCTACAGGGTGTAAATGAGCTGATACGTTTGTGAACTACTCGTGAATAAGCTCGGTCAAAACTTTGTCAAAACTCGTTTGTTAAGCTAACAAACAAGCTTGAACAAAAATCTTAAGCTCGTCAAATAGGTGATTTAATCTCGAACAACATCATGTTCGACTCGGTAATGTTCATAAACAACTCGTTTAAGTCAATTTATAAGTTTTTTCACGCCTAATTAAAATTTGAAAAATTTAGATATCTTTTATTCATACATATTTGTAAAAAGTACTAATTATTTCATCATGTAAAAGCATGAAAACTCCGTGATTACCTTTTTCTATATAAAGAATATAAAATTTTTATATAAAATTAAATGGATGTGTTAAAATTTAAAAGAAACCTTTTTTTAATGATAAATTAAGGCTCGTTTATTTAATCAAGCTCGATTTAGACCCGATCAAGATCAAACTTAAATTCGAAATGCAAACAAGTACGTTCGTGAACAAAGCTCGAACAAGCCAAATTCTTAATGAGCCCAGCTCGAAAAAGATTTTTAAAAGCTCGTTCAAGCTTGGGATAGTTCGAACACGAATATTTCTTATCAAGCTTAGTTCGAATCGACTAAAACTCTGCTCGGCCCGGATCGTTTGCAGCCCTAACAATGATATCCCTTCAACTGACATACTCTAGGTTTGTACAACCCAAGGAAATCGCATTTAATGCTTAATTAGGTGCTATTTTTAGCATAAATAAGGAAAAAAAAACTTATATGGATCTGATTCACAATAATATTATAGCGGACCTGAGGTCCATACACACGCACAACTAATGTTCTATTGAACATTGTGACCCTAATCTTAACATATTATTAACATAGTTACCTTAATATTAAAATAGCAACCTTTATTAAAATTTGTGTGACCTACTGAACTTTAATATTATTGTAAATTTGAAGTACATGTTAAACATAGTGAGCTTTATTATTTATATTAACCAATATATTAATAATTGAGAAAGTATTAGGTGCGGACATTGGCATGCAAATTTGGCGCGGGAGGCGTGACTGATATATTGTACTTGTTGGCTGATATGTTTTATGTGTTCACTGATATGTTTCATTTATTGACTGATATGTTAAATTTGTTGACTGATATGTTTCATTTGTTGGCTGATATGTTTTTGTATTGGCTGATATATTCCTTTTGTTGGTTGATATGCGTTTTCCTTTTGTTGGCAGATATCAGACATCATTTGGCTTATATGTTTCTTTAGTTGGTTGATATATTTATTTTGTTGGCTGACATCTATATTTTAATTGTTGGCTTATATGTTTCATTTTGTTCGCTTATATGTTTCATTTTGTTGGCTTATACTACTAGAAAATAGCCCATTTCCGTCAAAAAACACCCTAAAATACGTTAGAAAACCCGTTTCCGACGGAATTTCCGTCGAAATGGGTTGTCGGAAAACGGTTGGTAGGAAAAATGGTCCCTTCCGACAGAAATTTCGTTCGAAACACTTTTGCGACGGATTTCTGCCGTTGGAAGGGATTTGCCGGCACTTGAAAAATTCGTCGGAAATGTCCGAGGGAAATTCTATCGGAAACTACATCAACCAAAATTAAAAAAAAAAATACGCCGCACCACCACGACACGGCGTATCAACACCTCCAACCCCCCAACAAACCACCACCATAACTAACCCTAACCCCAAAATCAGACCACCACCTCCACTACCCCCAACAGACCACCACCAGCCCCTAACCCTCCTTAACCCTTATCCCCCACCACCACCAGCCCCCACTGCCAAACCGCCGCACTGCAACCCAAAAAAATTCAAAAAAATCCCCACCCAAAACCCAGATCTACCCACCACCACCTCCATAGCTCCCTTTAGCCCCTATTTAAACCCCACCCAAAACCCATATCTACCCACCATAAGCACAACACAGCAACCCTAAAAAAACTTCAAAAAAATCTGACCACAACACAGATCTATCTACCACAACCTCGCCAACCCAA